AGAGGTAGCAATTACGCTTAGCAATTCTTAGTGACTTTAGTGTTTCACCACTACACAAGTCAAAGGATCCGAAATTCGCATGTTTTTTAAGGATATTTTATCTTTCAAGTAGGTCCTCAAATCCAACGAGATGTGAAGCACACGGCGCATCCCAGAGTGGGCCCAGTTGGTTGCGCGCGCTTCAGCTACGGCTATCTTGATAACGAATCTTAATTCAGGAAGAATCAAGAGGGTTCTGAAAGAGTTCATGTTAAATTACAGAGAGGAGTACACTATTCAACAAGAAACGCAGCCTTCAGCGTCAAATTCACAAGCATGTAACCTTTAAAGTTGAGACCCGCTAAACAATTTTACACTTTTTGCAGAGAGAAAAGCACGAGGATTTTGAATCTGCTCCTACTTCAGTATGTAATCGCTCCTGCAAGGAGCTATAGTCGTTGGATAGTGCTAATGTAGCGAAAAAGTACCTTTCGGCGGTACTCGGGCAAAAATCCTCAACGTGGCCATTTTTTAAATAGTGAACGTATTTAGCAGTTTTAGTTGCCTTAGAAAGAGCAAATCTTCTAGTTTATGATGACGTATTAACTTTCCAGATTGCATGAGTTTGAACGGAGTTATGGCTTTGGAAAGCGTAAAAACTCGCACTCATCACGAATTTTCCTCGTTAATTTTGCAAAAATCCTCAACGTGGCCATTTTTTGAGTACTGGACGTATGAAGCTGCTTTAGCGACCGTTTGATAGAGAAAATCTTCTAGTTTTGTATGACGTATCAACTTTTTGAATTTGACGGAAATGAAGCAAGTTATTGCTCCGGAAAGTGTAAAAACTCGTGCTCGTCTCGAATTTTCCTCGTTAATTTGATCTAAATTTGTTATTTCTTATAACTTCCTGTAATTTCAGTACTGATTAGAAAAAGCTCTTCACAAAACTCCCAAATCTGCTTTCAGATTGAAAATTCGTTAACTTTGAAGAAAGTTATAATCATTTGAATATTTGTTCAAATTTCAATAGTAAATAAGCTGCTCCACGGTCAACGCCAAAGTCCAGTCAACACACAGCTGGCGAAGGCTTTACAAGGCTTCCTTTGAGCGAAAGGGGGACGTGTAAATTGAGAACCATAATCTGTGTAGTACTAGAATTTGGTAAGTCTTGTGGAGGAAATAAATAAAGAAGAGGTGTTGTCATAGTACGCCATTTTTAGTGACTAGTTTGTCGTTTTTTGCTCCGTTTCTCGTTTGCTCGTTTGACAGGACTCGTCATTAATGATCATTCTTTGACTTTTTCACTTTTATACTTTTTAAACGAGTTTTTTGTGGACGATGGGGCAGGGCTTTTTTATGAGCAGTTTTGGTGGAGAATTAAACAACTTTTTCATAGTTCGGCTTTTAAAGAGGGTTGTTTCATGGACTTCGGCCTTCGGCAGAGGGAGGGGGGGGTCGTATTTCCGAATTTTCCTCGACGCCTCGCTTGACCCTGACCGCACGAACCGCATCGACCGTTAGGTATGAAAGCAGCCTACTTTCGGATGGCGTGAGCGGGACAGGGTGAAGATAGCGTAGAGGAAATGCCCGCGGCAGCATGCCGGTCCCCAACCAGCAAAGTTTGGAGCCCCTCTCCCAATGACCCGAAATCTTTTCAATAATGTCGTAGTGGTGGGAGGGGGGAAGATTGCTAAGGTGGAAGGTAAAAAAAAGCAGGTTGGGTAATTCCACCCACTGAAGCGCGCCAATAAGTCCCCGAACGTTATATCCCCTGCAGCGTGGTTCGATAGAGGACAACTGAATGTGTAAAGGATGCCTCTCCAATCGCTGTTCCTTATTTGTGACAGGAAGCCTTCAATGAGGGGGCCTCTCAGGGCTCCAATTTTAGATGGAATCTCGGGGTGGTATCCCTATCTAATCTATCTACACTCGAAGACTGTGCTCTGGATGGTGATTAGATATGACCGCCCTTCCGCAGCTCCACTTCGATTAGATATTGTCAGTTCGATTAGATATATTATGAGTGACTCCCCCAAACTACATTTTCACCGTTTTGCTCACAACTCAGCATTATTGTGGAATGATGAAGGAGCTTCTTACTTCACTGCTGGCAGGCTACGCTTTGCTGATAACGCATAAATCTGCCCTTATTTTTTGCAACGTGCCTAGCGAAGGCACAAAGATCAAAAAGAGAATTTACGATGGAAATTTAGCTCATTGGAAATATGGGTAGAAGGGGTCAGTGGCAGGGATGAAGAAGAAACCATTTGAAACGGCCCGGAAACCGAGAAATGGGACCCCTTCCTTGCCCGTTGATTTGCGCATTGATGCGACTCTCATCGCTGTGCCCTCTTCAACACTACGCTCTCTCTGCTGTCTAATCACTCACTGCCTACGCCGTGTGATTAGAAAGTCGGTGGGCTCACCCCGCCAACCGCGCCAAGATTGAGTCGCTAGATCGCCGAGATCAGATCTTTCGCTGCCAATTGCGCGTCAGTCCCTCAGTGGCCGATGTCAGACTCTGCGATTGGAGCGATTCGGTCAAATGTCAATCGCGCGACCATCGCGCGATTGACATGACTCCCATCATGACCAATCGCTCCAATCGCGCGATGGGCGCGATCACTCCCGTTGTGGCTGGCGCCCCCCCCCCCCCTCGATCGATACGTTGACTGCGAGAGGGGCGCCCAGCCACAACGGGAGTGATCGCGCCCATCGCGCGATTGGAGCGATTGGTCATGATGGGAGTCATGTCAATCGCGCGATCGTCGCGCGAATCGCGCGATGGTCGCGCGATTGGCATTTGACCGATCGCTCCAATCGCAGAGTCTGACATCGGCCAGTAGGCGCCTGCCTCCAAAGTATGCATTTTTTCACTTCTTTGACATTCGTTCTCATCGTGAACTTCTTTTTTGATTAACCTAGGTGCACTCTATGCCATTTTATTAAGGGTTTCTGGGGTATTTATATGGCATTCTTGGAGAGTCGTGGAACTGCTTTGACTGCCGAACAAAAAGCTGCATGGGAAAAGCTGGGCACGATGTTCAACGAAGAATGCCAGCTTCAACTCGCCAAACACGGACTGCCTCATTTGTAATCGATCATAGCTTGAAACGAATCGAGATTTGCGTATGTATGTTTATTGTATTTGCAACAGCTATTGGTCCGACAAAATGTTTTGAGTTTCCGATAATACTGGAACGTCAGCCTTTCTTCGTTTAGTTTTTGTTTTGCAGTATTTACCAATAAAGGTTTGAAAATTTGAAAATTCCTACAGTGCACTAACAAAAGCTAAAGTAGTCATAGATCACAATAATAATAAATAATACAGTCATTTTTCAGCAAATGCATGCTCAGTTTTGCTGCTCTGAACGTACACATGTAGAAAGAAAATCGTTAATGCTATTCAACAGGGCAGATTAGTTGGAACTAACCAGAGGTGTCAGTGTTTGCGACCTTGGCCAAATTGCAAGTGTCGCTCGCGTCGTAACGCAAGTAACACGGCCAAATAATCAAATAATTAATGGCAGGATAAAGCGTCGGCAGCGTCAAATGGTGTGTTTTGAGTGCCTCAGGCCTAATAGGCACTGGCTTGCACTGAAACGCGTGCACCACTTGCGATTCGCGCGATGGTCACCAAGTCTGACGCCAGCCTTATTCTTTGCCTCTTGAAGTTGTTTTTCTAGAAGAGCTCTCACCCTCCTACTCTAGGGTCAAGCGAGACGTTGGAAAAATTTTGAAATGCCCCCCCCCCAGCTTCAGAAGTCGCAGAAGTCCACATGTACTACGCCAACTCCCGCCAAAAAAGTAACTGTGTTACTTGTATCGTAGCGTGTGTTTTGTGGTAGTATTTATATTGTGTGCTTTGTAAATGTATTATGTGACTTGTTGTGACTTCTTTGCAACGAATCTTCTCAATTTATTCGTGTAATCCACAATTTCAATATCGAAAAGTACGACATTTCAACATCGAAAAGTACAATGTGTATTAAACAATGTGAGACTTCAAAATTTTATGCAAAAGACTCAAAACTTTCTACAAAAGAAATTGCAAAAAGTGTTTTGCAAAAGTTTTGCAAAAGTTTAGGCCTTTTTGGCGAGCTTTCGGCGCTTAGCGCCTTTGTCGAGCCTGAAATGAAAATTATAAGCTTTCTTAAAGTCTGTTAATATATTAAAATATATTAACTGACCCACCTGCTGTCCACTTTCAAAAGT